ACCCATGTAGAGATGACGACGGAAGGTTCTAACCGTTGCATTACAATTCCGGCGACTTTCAATCTTCTATCGAATAGTGAGCAGGCCGCCTCGGCCTTTACTCTGCTGTGTGCTGCTCTTGAAAGCAGGACGCTCAGTACGGTAGGCGACGTGGATCTGTCCCGCAGGGTGTCGGGCATGGCTTTACAGGTACTTATTCCCTTCCTTTCGTGTTATTGTCGGGCGGGTTTGGGGTGTATTCACTCACTTTTTCTCTTTTATAGACCCTTGTACTGGAGGTGGAGAGGGGACGTCGTGAGCGGAAACGGACTGCCCTCTTTAACAAGATGTTAAAGAAATGCAGGAAGTACCGCTCTAAACATCGAGCGGAGGCTGGTAGGGGGCAGTCCCAGTCAGAGCGTAGGGGAGCCGAACTGGAGGAGGCGGACAGCGAGCTGATGAGGGTTGTAGCCCGCAACAGCGAGTTAGAGGAGCTCCTCAAATCCAAAGATGACGAGCTCGAATTGAGCTGGGGGTGGCGGCGGAGAACGCCGAATTGCAGCGGAGGGTGGCGAAGCTGACTGCTGAGCTTGTTGCCAAGGCGGCGGAGATTCACAGGCTTTCATGACCTTCTGCTTCCCGCCCTTTGCCTGTACAGGTTCCGCGTCGTAATGTGCATGAGATGTGGATTTTTGTAGAAGCCAAGGTCGATGTGTACAGAGAGCTTCATGCTGCGGGCCGGGCTACCGAGGAAGAAGTCCAGAGACGAAGGGACGAGGCTCGTACCGCTCGTGAAGCGTGCGGTTACGACTCCGACTCTCCTGATGGGGGCGGGCTTGCTTCCGACGATATCAACCATCTTGAATCCGGTTCGTGGTATAGTGATGTCTACCATTCGGGGGATGATGGGCAATCTTGACCATGTATATGTACATTTTTTGTTTGCACGGTGTAATATGACCCGCTCGTGGGGGTGAATGTAAATGTGATTTTTGTTGTAATATAATTTTTCCTTTATTGTCTGTTCGTTCGTCACATTGTTTAGTTTTGGTAGAGCCTTTCGTTTGTCGAGTTGTCGTGTCGTGGTTCCACTGGGGTCGACCTGATATCGCTGGCCTTAGCCGTCAGGATGCTACTGACTTTTGTCGAAGTAATGTCCGTCGAAGTTCGAACGAGGTCGAAGCTCGAGCGGGGTTGAACTACACTATTTTGATGGCGAAGGCACTTAGCCTGAGTCCCAGTTCGAGCTAGGTCGAACTGCACTATTTTAATGGTGAAGGCACTTAGCCTGAGTCCTAGTTCGAGCAAGGTCGAACTGCAATATTTTAATGGTGAAGGCACTTAGCCTGAGTCCCAGTTCGAGCGAGGTCGAACTGTACTATTTTAATGGCGAAGGCACTTAGCCATTGGGATGTTGCTTCGACTATCATCAAAGTAGCACCCGTCGTGGTTCGAACGAGGTCGGACTGGTGTCGACTGTTTTCTTGTTTGCGTAATGGAGATCTTGTTCATACAATGGAGATCTTTATTCATTCAATGGAGAATTCTATTCATACAATGGAGAACAACGGAGATACTAGGGTAGTCCTTTCACCATGTTGGCCTACATGGTGAACTCGTGCTTCTTGTTCCACCGGGCGTCCCCTTCGTCGCCTCGTTAAAAACCTTCCCGAGAAAACCCAATTGGGACAAAACTCGGGTAAGGGAAAAAGAGTACGACTCGGGAGACCCCTTTCAGAAGTGGAAGTGCTTGAGATGGGCGATGTTCCAATTGTTTTGGAGTAACTTTCCCTCCATCGTTTCTAGTTGGAATGCTCCTTTGCTAGCTGCCGCCGTAATTTTGTATGGCCCGTCCCAATTGGCCCCTAACTTTCCTTCTTTCGGATCTTTCGATGCCAGTGTTTTGGCTTTGAGAACATAGTCGCCGACTTTAAGCGGTCTCACCCTGGCTTTCCTGTTGTAATATCTCTCCGCTTGTTGTTTTTGGGCGGCCATTCTTATGTGTGCCATGTCTCTTCATTCCTCAACCTCATCCAGGTCTTGTAACCTGCTGGCGTCGTTGTCTGCTCCACTGGTGTGTGAGTATCTCAGACTGGTTTCTTCGATCTAGACGGGTATGACGGCATCGCTTCCATAGACCAATGAATAAGGCGTCTCCCCCGTGCTGGATTTGGGCGTATTCCGGTACGCCCATAATACCTCGGGTAATAACTCGGGCCACAGCCCTTTGGCTTCTTTGAGCTTCTTCTTTAATATGTTCAGTATTGTTTTGTTTGAAGATTCGGCTTGACCGTTAGCAGCGGGATGATACGGGGTAGAGAGTATCCGCTTGATGTGCCACTTCTCGAAGAATTCGGTAGTCTTTTTGCCGATGAACTGGGGTCCGTTGTCGCAACTGACTTCTTTGGGGATGCTAAAATAGCATATGATATTTTTCCATATAAATGCGATTACCTCTTGCTCGCATATTTGCGCGTACGCACCTGCTTCGATCCATTTAGAAAAATAGTCAGTTAAAACTAACAGAAAGCATACCTTTCCTCGTCCAGCTGGTAGGGGGCCGATTACGTCCATCCCCCATTTTATGAACGGCCATGGCGAAGTGACTGAGTGGAGGAGTTCTCCTGCCTGGTGTATCATAGGGGCGAACTTCTGGCATTGTTCGCATCTTCGGATGTAGTCTGCTGCCTCTTTCTTCATGGTGGGCCAGTAGTAACCGGCGCCTATGAGGCACCGGAAAAGAGCGCGGTTCCCCGTATAGGCGCCGCAATGGCCTTCATGCACTTCTTCCAAAACTTGACTCGTTTGGTGTGGCCCGAGACATTTAGCAAGGGACCACCGAACGTTCTCTTGTAGAGCTCGTGGTTTATGAGGCTGTAGCGGGCTGCTTGTACCCGAAGTTTCTTGGCTTCCTTTTTGTCGTGTGGGATTTTCCCGTCCTGCAGGTAGGATACAAACTGGTTGCGCCAGTCCCAAGTTAAGCTTAATGAGAGTACCTCGACATGGTCGACGGCTGAATGGAGGAGAGTGACCACGTTCTCTTTGTTGATATTTTTGGTGGCTGCGGCTAGTTTTGCTAGGCTGTCCGCCTCGATGTTCTGTCCTTGGGGAATATGCTCGAAGCGACATTCGTTGAACTCCGTCATCAGCTTACGAATTTCTGATTGGTATTTTTGTAGCCTCTGTTCCTTAATTTGGTAGGTTCTGGTGACCTAGTTTACCACGAGTTGGGAGTCGCAATGGAGGATGACCCGTCGGGCTCCGTATTTGATGGCCAGCTTCATACCTACAATTACAGCCTCATACTCGGCTTTGTTGTTAGTCATTTCAGGGCATCGTACGTACTGCGAATTACTTCTCCCATGGGGTTCTCGAAGACAAGTCCCAATCCTGATCCCGAGGCGTTCACAACGCTATCGGTGTAGAGGATCCAGAGGTCGGTGTTTGCAGAGGCGCGGAGGGCCTCTTGTTCCACTTCTAGCAAGATTCCCGTACTGAAGTCGGCGACGAAGTCGGCAAGTACCTGCGACTTGATGGCGGTTCTCGGGTGATAGGTTATGTCATGCTCGCTGAGCTCTATGGCCCATTTGGCGAGCCTTCCTGAGAGTTCAGGTTTGTGTAGGATGCCCCTTAGGGGGAAGGTTGTTATCACCTTTATGGGGTGGCACTGAAAGTAGGGTCTAAGCTTTCGTGAAGCTACGACTAATGCCAAAGCCAACTTCTCGAGGTGCGGATACCTCGTTTCGGCATCTATCAGAGTTTTGCTGATATAGTAAATCGGGGTGCGCCTTGCTTTCGTGAACTAGGACGGCGCTGACGGCGACTTCTGACACCGCCAGATAGACGAGCAGGCATTCGCCGGGATCTGCTTTGACGAGCAAGGGTGGTGAAGATAGATATTCCTTCAGTTTCCTTAATGCTTCGACGCATTCTTCGTCCCATTGCAACCCTCGATCTTTCCTCAGTACATTAAAGAATTTGTGGCACCTGTCCGAGGATCGCGAGATGAATCTTGACAGAGCGGCTATTCGCCCGGTTAGTTTCTGCACCTGCTTCTTGCTATTCAGGGTTTCCGGTATCGTCTCTATGGCCTTGATCTGGTCTGGATTGACTTCGATACCTCGCTGGGATACGAGAAAACCCAGGAACTTTCCGGAAGACACACCGAAAGCACATTTTTCTGGGTTTAGCTTCATCCCGTATTGTCTTAGTATCTCAAAGGCTTGTTTTAAATGGTCGATGTGATCCTCCTTTTTAGCCGACTTTACTAGCATGTCGTCGGTGTAGACCTCCATTGTCTTGCCGAGCTGTTCCTTGAACGTCTTGGTGACCAGCCTTTGGTATATTGCGCCGGCGTTTTTGAGCCCGAAGGGCATAACATTGTAGCAATAAGTCCCATGGTGGGTGATAAAAGTCGTTTTTTCCTGGTCCTCATCGGCCATCAGGATCTAGCAGCTCGCGTCCGGCTGTTGCGTCTATCAGCTGATCGATGTGAGGTAGTGGGAAGGAATCCTTTGGGCATGCCTTGTTCAAGTCAGTGAAATCCACGCACATCCTCCATTTTCCGCTTTTCTTTTTGACCATGACCACGTTGGCGACCCACCGGGGGTACTTCGATTCTCTGATGGACCCGTTGGCTAGTAGCTGATCTACTTCTTCGCTAACTGCCTCATTGATTGGGGCGTTGAACTTTCTCCTTACCTGCCACACGGTTCGATAGAGTGGGTCGACGGTGAGTTTGTGAGTGGCGATGTCTTTTGATATCCCTGGCATGTCAGAATGGGAGAAGACGAACAGACCTACATGGTTAGTTAAGAATTCATGGTACTTACCTGGGTCGGAGAGGTTATGCCCGATGTAGGCTTTTTTCGAACTGTCGGTACTGTCCAACGTGACAGGGTCGAGGTCCTCAACTGTCGCTTTGCAGGCTTCTACGATATCGGGGTCCCAGATGCCTTCCGTTGTCGGGGTGAATTTGGTCCCCGACATGGCTGATTGTTATGCTTCCGCACTTGCCCCTTTCAGTTGTTTGGTGTGGGTGCAATCTTGGGCGATTCGGTAACATTCTTGGGCGGTGCGTGGTTCACCTCGGATATTGAATATTCCCTATGGGGTGGAAACTTGATTACCTGATAAAGGCTCGATGGGACGGCTCGCATGGCGTGTATCCATGGACGTCCTATGATGACGTTGTAAGCCGTTTCCTGGTTCATGATGTGGAAGGTGGTGTCCAGCGTGACTCCTCCCGCCAGGACCGGCAGTGATATCTCTCCGGAGGTGCGTTCTACTGCATTGTTAAAACCCGTTAGTGTTATGCAACGCGGTATTACTTTATCCTCAAGCCTCATTTGCGTGAGGACTCTCGGATGGATAATACACATGTCGCTTTCGTCGTCTACCATAATTCTCTTTACATCAGTATCAGCAATGCGTAAGGTTATGACTAAAGCATCATAGTGAGGGAAGGACAAACCGTCGACATCAGACTTATTGAAGGTGATACAATCTTCGAAGTCATCATACCGTTTCTGAGCGATTGTGCGCTTTAGTTTGTGCGTGGTGGTGAACTTGACGTGGTTGATTGTCGAATTGTCACCGCCTCTGATAATCATCTGTATGGTTCGTGTCAGGGACGGCGGTCTTGGCGGCCCTTGAGATCGGTCGCGTCCCCTGGCGAAGTTAGCTCTTCCTTTGTCGCTGAGCAGCTCCTTCAGGTATCCCTGGTTCAGCATCCTGGCTACTTCTTGTCGTAGGCCTATGCAGTCTTCGGTCCTGTGTCCCGGTTCCTGGTGGAACTCGCACAGGACATTTGATTTTCTTGCGCTAGGATCTGATTTCATTTTTGGCGGCCAGTGTACCTTCGGGCCTAGCTTCTCCAGTGCGTATACTATCTCTGAGGGTGAGACACAAAAGTTATGAGTGGATAATAACGGAGGCATACCTCTTTCCTTCCGGAGCGTAGCAGTATGTCATTGAAAGGGGTCCTGGTGTCTCGGAGGAGGCGGGTTAGAGGCTCTAACGTAGGGCTTATGCCTTTCTCTGTTAAATCGTGGGAGTGGGTCCCGTCGCCCGTTGTTGCGTCGATCTTTCCTGGTTTCCGTCTGTACTGACATTAGCCGCTGGGTCGGACCGTTGAGATCGTCCTCGTCTGCCTTTACCTCTGCACAGTAGGCGTTGTGAGGGGATACTTCATGAGTCGGCTGAGTAGTTTCTTGGTTGCTTTCGACCCGTCCCTGCTCAAACCGTTTTGGAAGGCGGCAACTGTCATTCCCTCCGATACGTTAGGCAGGCTCATTCTCACTCTGTTGAATCGTGCCTGAAGTCCCTGAGCCCTTCGCCTGTCGTTTGCCTGATCGCAAATATGTCGTTAACCCTTGCTTCGGCCTTCTTTGCTCCCGCATGGGCGGTAGCGAATTTGTCTGCCATCTCCTCGAACGTTGATATTGACCCAGCTGGCAGTTGCGAATACCATGTTAGTGCCCCTCCGGTCAGGGTTTCTCCGAACTTTTTCAGCAGCACGGATGGCACCTGCTCCTTTGACAAGTCATTTCCTTTCACAGCGGTTACGTAGTGGATCAGATGATCTTCTGGGTCCGTGGTCCCATCATATATTCTCAAATATGGGGGCATCTTGAAGGTTTTTGGGATCGGATGAGGGGCGGCTTCCTCGTTGTACGGTTGCTCGACGAAACGTCCTACGTCGCGTTTCGGCAGTAATTTTGGTGCACCGGGTATTTTGTCTACCCTTTCCTGGTGCTCTTTCATTTGGTCACGGAGTGCCTTATTCTCATTCTCCATTTTTTCCATTTTTCTTAGGATGGTTGCGAGCGGATCGTTGCTTACGATGATGTCTGTATGAGTGCGGCTCGTCCGCATAGCACCTGGTTCGCTGGCGGCTGTGGTAGTCGCTGGGGTTTCCCGGAGACGGTTTCTCGAGCAGGCCGCTCAGGGTGTTTGTCAGCCACTCCTCCAATAATTTTTTGACTACTGGGGGTGTTTCCTTTACTGCGGGTGTCGAAGTCCCCTTCTCATGCAAGATCGTTAGATCTTCGAGTGAGGAGGGTGATACATTTTCCTCCGGAAGATTGCTCGGTGTTTCGTTTGAAGCATCTTCTCTACTGGCCTCGTTGAGGGGACCCATCAGGTTGGTTGAGACATCGGCTATCATCTTTAGCTTAGCTTCTCTGTCTACCATTTTTGGTTCTACTGAGTTTTTTTTTGAAGGGGGGGGGGGGGAGATAATGATCGTTGTTTCTGATACTCTAGATGTGAACTATGACTTTGATTATCGAAATCCCCACAGACGGTGCCAAATTGTTTGACTTAAAAGGTTAACGAACGGTGTTTAAGCAAATCAATCAAATGTATGAAAAGGGGGTAAGCGTAATCAAAGATAATCGACACTAGAGTATGAGTAATCCTTTGTGGTTTGGTGATTCGGAACAGTTAAAGGACAAAGTTGCGTGATAATGTTACAAAGATCAGAGGTATCCGTATTTCAGAGAAAGAGAGAGCGAGAGAGAAATTGAGACAGAGAGATAGAGAGAATAAGTAGAAATGCTATTGATCAAAAATCCTCCCCCTTTACATAGTTGGGAACCCCCCTTATATAGCGGAGGGATTTTCCCTTTTTTCCTATTTACGATATAAAGATAAAATATATAAAGTAAAGATAAAGTGCACGTTACAGAGGGGCCGACGTGATTACATGGTCGTCCCTTGGGCCCGACCTTTGTCCACACGACAGGTCGAAGGCATTTTGAGGACGGGGTTGGTCAAACTCGACCCTATACAAATGCAACGTCTGATTGCTTATATTAAATACTACCGGTATTAAATTGTGCAAACACCTAGTGTATATATATATATATATATATATATATATATATATGTGTGTGTGTGTGTGATAGTACTATAGACATAATAATAATTANAGCGGGTCGAACGTACACTAGTTTAATAGGTCGTAAGGCACTTAGCCTGAGTCCCAGTTCGAGCGAGGTCGAATCTGCACTATTTTAATGGCGAAGGCACTTAGCCTGAGTCCCAGTTCGAGCGGGGTCGAACTGCACTATTTTAATGGAAAAGGCACTTAGCCTGAGTCCCAGTTCGAGCGAGGTACTGCACTATTTTAATGGCGAAGGCACTTAGCCTGAGTCCCAGTTTGAGCGAGGTCGAACTGCACTATTTTAATGGCGAAGGCACTTAGCCTGAGTCCCAGTTCGAGCGGGGTCGAACTGCACTATTTTAATGGCGAACGCACTTAGCCTGAGTCCCAGTTCGAGCGGGGTCGAACTGCACTATTTTAATGGCGAAGGCACTTAGCCTGAGTCCCAATTCGAGCGAGGTCGAATTGGTGTCGACTGTTTTCTTGTTTGCGTAATGGAGATCTTATTCATACAATGGAGATCTTTATACATTCAATGGAGAATTCTATTCATTCAGTGGAGAATTCTATTCATACAATGGAGAACAACGGGGATACTAGGGTAGTCCCTTCACCATGTTGGCCCACGTGGTGAACTCGTGCTTCTTGTTCCACCGGGTGTCCCCTTCGTTGCCTCGATAAAAACCTTCCCGAGAAAATCCAATTGGGACAAAACTCGGGTAAGGGAAAAAGAGTACGACTCTGGAGACACCTTTCAGAAGTGGAAGTGCTTGATATGGGCGATGTTCCAATTGTTTAGGAGTAACTTTCCCTCCATCGTTTCTAGTCGGAATGCTCCTTTGCTAGCTGCCGCCGTAATTTTGTATGGCCCGTCCCAGTTGGTCCCTAACTTTCCTTCGTTCGGATCTTTCAATTCCAGTGTTTTGGCTTTGAGAACATAGTCGCCAACTTTAAGCGGTCTCGCCCTGGCTTTCCTGTTGTAATATCTTTCCACTTGTTGTTTTTGGGCGGCCATTCTTATGTGGGCCATGTCTCTTCGTTCCTCGACCTCGTCCAGGTCTTGTAACCTGCTCGCGTCGTTGTCTGCTCCACTGGTGTGTAAGTATCTCAGACTGGCTTCTCCGATCTCGACGGGTATAACGGCATCGGTTCCATAGACCAATGAATAAGGTGTCTCCCCCGTGCTGGATTTGGGCGTAGTCCGGTATGCCCATAATACCTCGGGTAATAACTTGGGCCACAGCCCTTTAGCCTCTTCGAGCTTCTTCTTTAATATGTTCAGTATTGTTTTGTTTGAAGATTCGGCTTGATCGTTAGCAGCGGGATGATACGGGGTGGAGAGTATCCACTTGATGTGCCACTTCTCGAAGAATTCGGTAGTCTTTTTGCCGATGAACTGGGGTCCATTGTCGCAGCTGACCTCTTTGGGGATGCCAAAACGGCATATGATATTTTTCCATATGAATGCGATTACCTCTTGCTCGCGTATTTGCGCGTATGCACCTGCTTCGATCCATTTAGAAAAATAGTCAGTTAAAACTAACAGAAAGCATACCTTTCCTCGTCCAGCTGGTAGGGGGCCGATTATGTCCATCCCCCATTTTATGAACGGCCATGGCGAAGTGACTGAGTGGAGGAGTTCTCCTGCCTGGTGTATCATAGGGGCGAACTTCTGGCATTGTTCGCATCTTCGGACGTAGTCCGCTGCCTCTTTCTTCATGGTGGGCCAGTAGTAACCGGCGCCTATGAGGCACCGGAAAAGAGCGCGGTTCCCCGTATAGGCGCCGCAATGGCCTTCATGCACTTCTTCCAAAACTTGACTCGTTTGGTGTGGCCCGAGACATTTAGCAAGGGACCACCGAACGTTCTCTTGTAGAGCTCGTGGTTTATGAGGCTGTAGCGGGCTGCTTGTACCCGAAGTTTCTTGGCTTCCTTTTTGTCGTGCGGGAGTGTCCCGTCCTGCAGGTAGGATACAAACTGGTTGCGCCAGTCCCAAGTTAAGCTTAATGAGAGTACCTCGACATGGTCGGCGGCTGAATAGAGGAGAGTGACCACGTTCTCTTTGTTGATATTTTTGGTGGCTGCGGCTAGTTTTGCTAGGCTGTCCGCCTCGATGTTCTGTCCTTGGGGAATATGCTCGAAGCGACATTCGTTGAACTCCGTCATCAGCTTACGAATTTCTGATTGGTATTTTTGTAGCCTCTGTTCCTTAATTTGGTAGGTTCTGGTGACCTAGTTTACCACGAGTTGGGAGTCGCAATGGAGGATGACCCGTCGGGCTCCGTATTTGATGGCCAGCTTCATACCTACAATTACAGCCTCATACTCGGCTTTGTTGTTAGTCATTTCAGGGCATCGTACGTACTGCGAATTACTTCTCCCATGGGGTTCTCGAAGACAAGTCCCAATCCTGATCCCGAGGCGTTCACAACGCTATCGGTGTAGAGGATCCAGAGGTCGGTGTTTGCAGAGGCGCGGAGGGCCTCTTGTTCCACTTCTAGCAAGATTCCCGTACTGAAGTCGGCGACAAAGTCGGAAAGTACCTGCGACTTGATGGCGGTTCTCGGGTGATAGGTTATGTCATGCTCGCTGAGCTCTATGGCCTATTTGGCGAGCCTTCCTAAGAGTTCAGGTTTGTGTAGGATGCCCCTTAGGGGGAAGGTTGTTATCACCTTTATGGGGTGGCACTGAAAGTAGGGTCTAAGCTTTCGTGAAGCTACGACTAATGCCAAAGCCAACTTCTCGAGGTGCGGCTATTGCGTACCTTTGCTTTCGCGAACTAGGACGGCACTGACGGCGACTTCTGACACCGCCAGATAGACGAGCAGGCATTCGCCGGGATCTGCTTTGACGAGCAAGGGTGGTGAAGATAGATATTCCTTCAGTTTCCTTAATGCTTCGACGCATTCTTCGTCCCATTGCAACCCTCGATCTTTCCTCAGTACATTAAAG